CACAACCTTCCAGTTACGAACTCTGAAACTTAACCTCTGCTCCATACTGCTGCTCTATATATACAAAACACAGTGCTGACGGCATCTGGTGTTTGTGCAGTATGCCATACTTTGGGGATAACTAAGATCTTTTCAAAAGCAGAAGCATTACTAGTACAGACTTACTGGATTTTAGAAAAGAATAATAAAATAAATATATTACACTTTCATTTACTTGGGAAAACCACTGCATTACAATGTAAAATTCAGATACTTCTGAGTTTAACACTGAACAAAAAAATGTGAAGGAAATGTTCTAAGTGTATATCTCGTGCTGTTAATTTTCAGATTCGACAGATTATTTCCTTATAACTACAGAAGAAAAAGGGTGATTCACAGAGCACTTACACAGAGCATTACATTTACATAACAGAGACAGGATTATCACAATTTTGGAAATAAGCAAACATTAAATATAAGAAACACTAAAGATGTCCATTAGATTAAACTAATAAACTATGAATTCAACAATAATTAAAAATCAATTTTTATAAGCTTTGCTTTTAAAAATAATGCCACAATTAGTCACACATTCTAGATAACAATTGCCCACTTTTCTGAAATGAACTGTTGTTCTTTAAAAGCAAAACGTATACACTTGCTGAAACTATGCTCTCTACAACAGCTTCTTGGGAATAAATTACAGTAGGTGACTTGAGCTATGAGATGGAAATGGAATATTTTATAGGCATTGTAATAGTATGTAATAGAATTAAAAGTGCAGTAAAAACCTTGTGAAACATCTCCGTTTCTCAGCTCGACAGTATATTCCATGGCTGTTCCTGTGACTCAACAACTCCTACGAGCCTTCTGTGATTGTTATGGGCCCATTACTTAAACACTGCTGTCTAATTAAATCTCAGAAGCAGGTTGGTGTGTGAATGAAATACGCTTATCCACAGTGCCACCTACATTCCTGTTTTAGAATAGGAATTTGTATGCAGCCATATAAATGACAGTGCAAAACCTCAAGTCATCAATCCAAAAGCACTGCAACTTCCCAGCAAAAGGAAAAAAAAAACAACAAAACAAATACAAGAACTGCTTTGAATTCTGGATAATTTCAAAGCATTATTCCCTGCACATCAGTACAGGGAAAATTACAACCATGGCAGAGATGACAAACTACAGTAGCACTGCTTTTCAACCAGTTGTTTTTTTTTTCAATCAAAATAATACAAGAAAGCACTGGCACAAGCATTTGAATATAAAACTACTGTATAACTGACTAATATTTACACATATTACACTGCACAGTAAGTATGGTTGCAGTAAATGAACTGGTACAGAACTAAATATGACATATATATATATATCTTTGGGTGGGTAGCTGCGTCAGCATGCGTAGGCTGCAAAGGAACAAGTAATAGGTTTATTCCATGCTGAAAAAAAGAAGAAAGAGAACACGTTTCGGCCGTGGAGCCTTCTTCAGGTTTGCACACCTGAAGAAGGCTCCACGGCCGAAACGTTGTGTTCTCTTTCTTTTTTTTTTCAGCATGGAATAAACCTATTACTTGTTCCTATATATATCTTTGCTTTTGCATTTAAGATAAATATGTCAGAGGAAAGTGTTTGATCTAAGATTAATTCAAAATTTTCACTAAAATCAGTTCCATAAATCATATAATTGAAACTCAAGGTTTAGGAACTGTCAGCGTTATGAATAACATTTGCCTTCCTGGTTGACTTCTCAAGGTAAAAACAAGAAAAGCAGGAACAGTTCGTGGTGGCACAGGCCAAGAAACCTCTAATTGAATTGGCTTTACCAAAAACGTTATTTCAAGGGTGATCAGTTAAAGCCCGTGAAAAGTACTGGCCTAATCAAAAAGAAAAGTTTCAACATCACAGGAGCAATTGGCCTAATAAATACATTCTTTTTTGCTAGTTCATAATTACCATATCAATGAACGTAGGGCTAAGTACCAAATCTGTGTACTATCAGACCCTGCTGAAAAAAAGGACAGGTTTCTCTTTTAAAGGTTTTGTTCCATCTGTTTTGTGGTTAAGATCACAGAGATCTGCTCACTCACAGAGTTGGCAGTGACCCAGTATTCCTAGTATTTCACAGCACATACAACCCTACCCAATAGGCTTTAAAGATTGAGGTACTGTACTGTATATAACACAAATGTCAGTGTGTCTTTACAGCAAGTGCTCGTGCCTAGGTAAGTTAATGATTTAATATAGAGCTATGTAGACTTATTTTCAGATGTAAAAATTCAATTCCCAGCAATTTAAATGGAAGAGTAAATTAACTCGGCTCTGCTTGTTTTTTTTTCAGGAAGTGAAATTTCCTGTTTAATGCACTTCATCAGCAGCAGCCTGATGCACAATTAATATTAAAAGCAATGATTAAAAGTCTTTCACAAATACAGAAGCCACTGACAACTGAATTGAAACAAAACAACCTTAACAAAGGTTAAAAATACCTCCCACAAAAATAAACAAAAAACAAAATAAAAAATTATTTCTGAAAAAAATGGAAGATGAATACAGAATTGTATAAGTATCCAATTTGTCTGTTATCTTGCAGCGTCCTGATGTTTTGTCGAGATACAGCCTTTGTTCTACAGGCTTGGGAGATGAGACCTTGAAAATGTGATTGGACATCACAGACTCAATTTTTTATTGAATTAATTTTGTTACCACTAGACAGCGCAAATGTGTAGGTCCTGCCCCCCCCCACGCCAGACACCTTTTCTCTTAAAATAAAGATTCAAGTACCGTTTGCCGGCGCTGATAAGCAAGTGATAGAATTTGCTTTTGCAGTGACCAGTAGGCTCTGACTGATTTCAATCTGAGGTCAGACAGTGCAACATCATAATCTACGCAATGACTCATTCTTCAAGGCGGACAATGAGAGCAGAAATATGAGGGTGAGTCGGGGGCTACTTGATGGAGGATCAGGGGGAATCTTGCTGGCAAATCTAATTTTTTGTCTAGAAAGCATGTCACGTCTACATTTGGAGTTTGTACTAAGTGCCAAGCATCAGGTCCCTCTTCTAATAAACACTGAAAAATTACTGTCTTTCAGACTAACCCTATTAGAACACGCTACAGGGAAAGCAGACATATATATACTCATAATAAATTTGTAAAGATAAGGTTTCATCTTAATTACATAAACAGATGTTCACAGTATTTTTCATTTGGTGTCCTAGCAGTCCAATTTAACTTTATTTGTGTGGCAGTTTCTTAAAGGTTAGGAACAGACAGATGTGTTTTCTGTTCACTGTAAAGGTCTGCAACATAAAGCAAGGATACCAACATTATTTCATATTGATGCTCTTTAGCCATTTCTCTGCTTAACCTTAACTTGACACATCTTCGCGAGCTGCAGAATTACCATCTCTGCATCTAAGGCAAACAGACGGCCTTGTGCTCCTGTCCTTGATTAAAGCCAGCCTTACGGAGAGGAGGTGTTTATTTGAAAACCACTTCGAAAACATCGGTTAGCTGCCCAGACGCAACCCCTTCTTGCTTCCTGATTAAAAAAAAAGATCTTAAAAACCTAACCCACTGCGATACCACTGAATGACCATTACAAAGAAACTACAAGGCTGAGAATAAAAGCTCCATTGTTGTGTGAGGAGATTTAATCACCTGCGACAGGATTAGAAACTGATTAGATGTGCCACAAAAGAATAAGGAATAGAAGGGCCAAGAAACTGTGGGCACACCGTTCCAAAATATTCTTAAAACTGTTCTAAATTCTAATTTTCTTGTAACACAAATTTAATATTACAAAATAACATTCATTTATATTTAGAGGAGAAATTATACTGTGTATTCTCACTTGTTTCGTAAGTCAATTTTTACAGCAGCACTACAACCTCCTGACCCAGTCTAATCAGATTTCAGAAGGCAAGCTTCTGAAAGTTGTGCCTGGTCAGCTGTGGCATCTTGGGACACCTCTGAGGAAGAGACTCCCAGCCTAGGCCCTGGGGAACCACACACCCTCTAGATTCCTTCCCAGCTGAGCTCCAGTGACATAACCTAAGGTGTGAGCCTGGTCAGTACCTGGATGGGAGACCTCCTGGGAAAAACTAAGGTTGCTGTTGGAAGAGGTGTTAGTGGGGCCAGCAGGGTGCACTCACCCTGGGGTCTGTGTGGGTCCAACTGCTCCAGTATAGTGATGGGGAGACTATACTGTAAACAGGTGCCGTCCTTCGGATGAGACGTAAAACCGAGGTCCTGACTCTCTGTGGTCATTAAAAATCCCAGGGTGTTTCTCAGAAAGAGTAGGGGTGTAACCCCGGCGTCCTGGCCAAATTTCCCATTGGCCCTTACCAATCATGGCCTCCTAATAATCCCCCTCTATGAAATGGCTACATTACTCTGCTCTCCTCCCCACTGATGGTGAGCGTTCTGGCGCACTATGGCTGCCGTCGCATCATCCAGGTGGGGGCCGCACATTGGTGGTGGTGGAGGGGAGTCCCCATTGACTGTAAAGCCCTTTGAGTGGATTGTCCAGAAAAGCGCTATATAAGTGTAAGCAATTATTATTATTATTATTATTATTATTATTATTATTATTATAATAACCAAACCCTTCACAACTGACCTGATACTAGGGTTAACTTGAACTCTTTGATTGATTTCCATTGCTATGGAACACATTCCTATGTGTCAGATCTCCCAACTTTTCACCAGAAAAAGTGGCAAAGGATCCAATTGGTCCCATTAGTGCAGCGGGATGGAATAGTGCCTGTTATAGCCCCCCTCCCCACCCCCCAGGTGTCTCGGGTAAATTCCACTCTGAGCTCAAACAGTCCAGCATCTGCATCTGCACAACGGTTACCGCGCATCACTCAGGTGTGGGGGGGCTCCACATCGGCGGGGGACAGAGTAGATCCCTCCCTGTCTGTGAAGCACTTTTGGGGTCCTCCAGGATGAAAAAACGCGATACGCTGTAGGTGCGCGCGCCCGCTTACGTCAGTACGGGGCTCGGCGGTACTCACTTGGCCAGCTGCTTCTCGGCGTCGGCACACAGCTCCAGCAGGCCCATCAGCACCGCCGACACATCCATGTAGGGCTCCCAGACGGTGAAGCCGCGGCCGATGAGGTCGATGGCAGTGCGGCGGATGGTGCTGTGTGGAGGGAGCTTGGGACTGGGGGGCTGCAGCAGCAGGAACGTGAGAGCTTTGCCTGGGATGGCGGGAGAAGGACAGAGCAGCGGATTCAGCCGGCTGAGCATCGGTGCACACAGAAACAATATCAGTGCTTCCTACATGGTTTTCAGATCAGGATTTGGGGACAACCAGGGTGACTATATACCTTTTGCTCCCTCTTAACCCGAAGATGCTGAATTACTGTACACGTGATACAGCGTTACTCTGACAGGACAATTTGAAACAGTTCCCAACTATCAAAGAACGCATCGTTTCAACTTCACCTACAGTATGAAAACCTACTGGCTCATATGGTATTTTATTCCTCAGCAACTATTTTATATGATTCTGTGAAGGCACAATTCAAAATCAGAACAAATATTCAAGAATTTTAAAACCTCACAGGCACTGACAAAGTTAACTCAGTGAGGTTCTTCAGAATCATAAGTGAAACAAGGAGAGAGCATGAATGGACACTATGAGGAAGTCCATTTGAAACCGAGATGAGGAGATGCTTCTTTTCACAGAGGGTTTTGGAAACCCGGAACAAGCAATAAGTCCATATTATGACTGGATGAGGTTCCTGGGATCAATCATTGTCTAATTCTCAAGCTATTTTTTTTGCAAACTTTTTAAAGTGCTTATTCAGGAAGAAACAAACACACTGTTGCCTTAACAGTCAATTTTTTAATCAGATCTTTTCATGTTTTCTTCTGTGTTATGCACACAGTTGGGTTATGCGTTTTGTACACATTACAGAAACAGAACAAGAGAATTACAAATAAAATATTAAGTTAAAATTGATACCGCCTGCCTCAGTTGATTTCAGTATCCTAACATAGTTCACATTAAGGGTCAGGAGTTAACGTACAGTGTAGTTCAGTCCCCATCTGTACATCTTTCTTGGAGAGACAGGAAACAATGTAATTAGACTGCCTGGCAAAGTCACCTGAACTCAGCAAAAAGGAAGGTAACAGTTACCTGGAACAGTGGAGAAAGATCTTGCACAAGTGGGACTGATTCACTTCTTTTATTTCTGTGGTTACTACCCCTGCTTAGCACACGTTTTATTACAAAGACATTTTTACAACTGAGATTGATAACATCTTGTATCACATTCCCACCTCTTTCTTCTACAGCACTGCCTCTTTGCCTGACTTTGCGTGCTCTCGTCTTTCTCCTGTCACAGATTACTCCTCAATGCCTTGCTGAAGTGGGATCACATATGGAAGACCCTTCCCACCTGTTGAGCTCTATTCCCTTTATGTCATTTCACTTGTACCTTTCTGCCCTTTGCTCCTTAACATAATAAATGACAAAGTTCAGGGATAATGCAGGCTGCTTTTAAAACTATGGCAGTTACACCAATGACTTAAAAGGCTGACATTATTTGGGATTATCCAAATAATTTTGGCTCATATCTAACTTGACTCTGCTTTCGAAAATAATAGAAAGGTCCAGTGCTGGTGCAGTGTAATCATCTCACTCCAAATGCACTATTTCCAACTCTTTCTAACTAAGTAAGACAAATACTGTATATACTGTAGCAAGTGTGCATTAAAGTTGCTAACAATAGCCTCCTCGTGGCTAATTCAGAAGCACTGTCTTACTTCCCAGACAGTGTTACATCCAGGACTGTAAATCATGATATGCACAGTACTCAAAGAGCTTAGTATCTTGGGTACTGTCTTTAATTAGTATATATATTACATTACTAAGCACAGACATTTAATTTCACTTGAAAGTTTAGATCTGAGGTTGGGTAGGTTACACATGGTGTTCTACAGGGCTCAGTAATGAGTCCCCTTCTATGTAGCATTTCTGTGTTTCCTCTTAGTCAAATACTAAAACTACTTGGTCTGAATTACCTTTACTATGAAGACTGGCCCAAAATACAACTTAAATGTTACAAGAGAGAGGTCAGATCATCAGCTTTTTCCCCAAGATAGAGATGAAACCTTGTCAGCACTGTGCTTGGCTGATTCTTTCTTATTATGTGTTGTGTGTTTACTGTTTGTCTATACTTTATGAGTGACAAGACCTTTTGCTGCTGTGCCCTAAAGCTCAGGAACACCATCCAAAAAGTAATCAGGGATTGCAAATGTTTTACCCTCTGTGTCTGCTTTGCTGTAGGCTTCGGAGCTTTATTTTATTGTGAAGTGTGCTCTATACGTATCATAAAGCATTTCAGACGATTCAAAGGTACTATGTCAAATAAAGTTTACTATAGGGTTTGAGTGGACAGAACAGTGGTGCAATGGTTAGCATTACTGTACCACCTCACAGCACTGAGGTCCTGGGTTCAATTGCGGACCTGGGAGCTACAGTATCTGGGTCCGTATGTTCTCCTCATGTTCGCATGGATTTCCACTAGATGCTCTGGTTTGTTCCCACAAAAACATACTGGTGGTTTAATTGGCTTCTGGGAAAATTGGTGCTAGGAATGTGTGGATGTGTGTCTGCCCGGTGACTGCTTGCAGGGGTAGGCCCCAACTCCCCAGCGACTCTGAACTAGAAGAGGTTAGAAAAATATTTCTGATAATTTGTCCTGTTCCAACCACTGTTTTTCTACGACTTCGACTACTACATCTTGTTTTTCTGGTTTCTTTATACTGAAACAGCAATTTCAATTTAATGTTTTTATTCATACGTAAAAGGGCATTTTTTGTTTAGTGTTTCCTGGCAGCACAGTAGGAAAAAATGACAAGTTTAATCTCAATCTGCAGTTTCTGCATGTAAAGACTTTCTGCCCTGAAGTTGCTTAACTCAAGATCAGCAGATGTTAATCGACAAGGCCCTTTTTAAATATATGTTGGAAAAACAAAATCCGATTTTGTAGATTTTTTACACATAATTTTAAAAGCATATTTTAAAAAAAGACTAATTAGATGTTCTGATGTAAATGCATTAAGGCCCTGTAGTTCACCTTTTTTCAGGCATAACAAGTGACTGATTGCACAAACAGACCAATGGATACACACAGCTATGTGCATGCAGTATACATTTTATAAAAAAAAACTTAAATAATTTGAAGCTCTCTGGCTATAAGTAATCTCAAAGATAATAGAACACCTTCACATTATAAATTCAGCTTTCACAGCAAAAGACATTTTATAGAAAATTAATATATTGTTCCTACAGTGAATGTCTTCTCTGACAATAGTGCTGAACAATGGCTGCTATTATTTCAAAAGCCATACTTCAGATTTCTATCCCATTACCCATTAATGCACTTACACTAGTTCAGATAATCTGCTGTTATTCATCACAATGTACACCAGTCCCATAATCAAATCTGTTTCCAAGCATGCAATAGGGCAACAATAGCTCAACAGCATTGCTTGGCTGACTAGGCTAAACACTTCACTACACAGACTCTGGCAGTATTCTGCTGTTCTGTTTTTTCTCTTTTCCTCATTCACCTGCAGACGTGTCTGGTCTCTAGACTATTGTTAACGGAGTACTTGAATGGCTGTTCAGACAGAGGAATGCACAAGAAGCAATGTACAGAAGCTATACAGAAATTATTCTTTCAAGGTGCTCTGCCCTGTAATTATACTGCTGCCTCTTAACACTATAGGGGCTATAGCAAACTTCAAACACCTACTGAAGATGTCGAGCAAACAAAGAAATCAGATCCATATTGCTGTTATGCTTTTGTCATTCTTATTTTCTCTTAACAGTTGTGCTGTTCCAGTTCTAGTTATATTTTACAACACATTTCTTCTACTGTTTTGTATATTTGCAGAATACGGGTATTAAATCCATTTATATAAAAACCCATCAGCTTCTTATCACTTTTTCATCAGGAAAAATTAAGATCCTAGTTAAGGTGACCTTAGGCCTCTTTAAAACACAAATGGCTCAATGAGACCGTTTTGCCCAAACCTTTAAAACAAACAGATTTGAACACTGTATTATACCTTTTTTTGTCCACCTTGAGTCAGAGATCCCTCTGCTACCGACAAATCAACATTCAGTAATGCTGAGTGCCAGGATTCCGAGGAGCAGGAGAAAAGGGCTGCGTGCTGGCCGCTGGATCAGCCATTTTACATGTGAGTGGGGAAAACATTTTCTGCAGAGGTCACTTCAGGCATGACCTGGTATTTAAGAGAAGCACTGCAGGGGCAGATTGACCATTAACAGACAAGCACAGAGGCCCTCCCATTCATACAGCATTCACTGCGCTGTTCTGCACTGACCTTTATAATAGACATTACAGATATTAGGCGTGTACCAGCGGACCCAGGAAACGCAGACACAAAGACTTGGCAAAAACTGTCAGCCGGTAAAGAGGTTTTCAATTTTACGTCCTGATGTGGGCGCAAGCATCTGTTTTTTTTTCACGACGATGTTAGTTTCCTTAAGGTGGATTAAGATATAAATCAAGATCTGGTCAAGGTATTTCCTTGCCATTTCCTGTATGATAAAAATGATATACATTTAATTTCGAAACAGTTAATAATAATAATAGAAAATAATAATTTATTAATTACTACTACTACCTCATTTAAAATGGTTAAAAAGCAAAAATATAAATATAAATAAAAACAGAAAGTATTTCCTATACTGATCTAAACTGCATATTGAGGCAATGCTGTTGTTCTTAGAAACCAAACAGCCAATAACAAGACAGCCTTCCTTCTGCCTTGGGTAAACCACTTTTCTGTTGTTTCAAAACAAAGCCTGAGATGTCCACCACTGTTCCCCGATTTTAAAAGCTTCTCTACATGGCTGCTGTGAGAAAGGACGCAGTGAAGGACTCTTGCCTGTCTGCCTTTGTTAAATGTGCCTGTTGAACTACATTCCCCAGCGGACAGCCTCTGAAATCACACACACATACAGAACCTAGAGCATTTACAGAGAGCTAGCATCACAATTCCACAATTTAAAAACTGTGCACTAATGTAGGATTTCTTGCTGTTTGAAGAAATCTTGTAGAAATAGCACAAAGCACATGCTTAATAAGAATAGAAAATATGTCCATTCTGAGTCTTAATTTCCCATTTTGCTAAACCTGTAGTTCAAGTAATCAAT